CACAACGTCGTTCATGTTTTAAGTTCACCTTTGCGAACGTATATTTATTTTTTTTTTTTTCTCCTTTTTTTCTATCAAATCGCTTGCGCGCAGTACTGTGTAATCCGCACCGAGCGCGAGGCATGCCGCCCTTTCACCCTCCCAACTTATGCATCACATCAGGGAGGTCTCTAATTTGTTTACTTTCCCCCTGTGTGAGGCAGCATGCGGGGAAGTAGTTTTATGTCCAATCGAATGGGACAACCACTTTGAGCAGGGGAAAAAAAAAATGAGTGTACCTATGTATGTTTTCCAACCGTTTTACAATATCGCCACGTAGCTTTTGTAGACATATGCACATCTGGACAGAACAAGTGTAGCGTTTTCCTCAAAAAAAAAAAAAAGTGTCCTTTTTTTAACTTCTCCAAAAATTGGGGCGTCACATTAAGCTCATCGTGTGCATGTCACTCTTACTGAACCGCTTGCAACTTTTTTTTTTTTTTTTTTTTTTTTTTTGCATGTGCGCACGACGGAGATGACACTCTCTTCTCACCACAACCCTTCCTAAACTTTTCACAACACAGAAATAATAATGAACAGCAGCAGACTACGGCACATCGAAAATGCGCTAAACAGCTTCAACTTCATGTCCCCCCTGGACATATACATGCGGCTGTACTTCAAGGGGAACAACATAAAGAGTAGAGACAAGCCGTTCATCTCGGAGCACGTGTACAATATAATGCGCAACAAGACGCTCCTTTCATATTTGTCTGCCCCCTCTCCTCTGTACACGAACGTGGTTAAGACGTACTTCTCCTCGGACAAGTTGGTTTTTTTTTTTTTTTTTTTTGTTTTTTTTTTCTCTCATCGGCGCTGGATCAGGCGGCGTGCCAGTCGCGTTGACATGTATATAAAAAGCATGAATGCACCGCTTCTAACCCCACTTTGCTAGGGAATAAAGCAACTCCTCCACTCCTTTCATTAATCCCTTCGTCCATTAATGCCTCACACACACCGCAGATGGAAGTACGAAATGAACAACGATAAAATTCCGGCGCACGTGCGGTACTCATTTCCGAAGGAATTGTACGAACAGTTGGTCAACTGCTACGGAGAGAAGAAAAGCCACACGCTCATGTCGATCCTGAATGAGAAGGCACCAGTATTCTTACGAGTGAACACAAATAAAATATCACGTAACGACCTGTACAAACTTCTAATGAGCAAAGGAGTATCTGTTGAAAAATGTGTAAATTCTCCACAAGGATTATTATTAACAAAGAGTTGTGTCCTTAAAAATAATCACGAATATAATAAGGGTTACTTTGAAATTCAGGATGAAGCCAGCCAAATAGTTAGCTCGAAAATACCTGTCCAGCCAGGTTATAAGGTATTAGATTTCTGTGCAGGGTCAGGTGGAAAAACATTAGCTTTTTCACCAATAATGGATAACACAGGAAAGATATACCTTCATGACATACGAGACAAAATGTTATCACAAGCAAAAGTGCGATTGAGGAGAGCAGGTATTCATAATTATATTCTTCTAAACAGCAATCATATTTTATTAAAGAAATTAGTTGGGTACATGGACACTGTGATTGTGGATGCCCCCTGCACCGGAACAGGTGCCTTAAGGAGGAACCCCGAAATGAAACACAAGTATAGCAACAGCAAGCTCTACGATTATGTGAATCTGCAAAGACAAATTTTTCAACAGGCCTTACTTTATTTGAAAAAGAATGGCAAAATTGTTTATATCACTTGTAGCATATTAGATGCAGAAAATGTTCATCAAGCAAAGTACTTTTGTGAAAAGCACAACTTGTTTTTGTCTGAACCTCCATTCCATTCCTTACCGCAGTCCAAGTCTATGGACGGGTTTTTCTTGGCCATATTTGAACGCCGGGACTGACCCAGTGGGGGGGACTCGCACGGTCATCGTGGGCCCTCCGATGGGCCACATACACACATGCAATTACTAATTCGTGCAACTGCGACATGTATATAATAACAACGCATCCTTCCTACCCGGGGGAAAAAGTTCCCTCGAGAGAGAATTCTGCTCCTGCCACTCTATCGTTTCCCATGATGGAAACATATGCGTCATAGCTTTGCCACATTTTTCTTTAACCATTAGGAGAGAGCGAGCAAAAACTTCTGGTTCTATGTATATGGTAGCAGCAAACCTCTTTTTTTTTTTTCCCCACCCATATATTTGCCCCGTCACCTGGGGATATATAGCGCCCAAGTGGGGGAAGTGGCCTTCCGCTAATCTTCCCCCCCCCCCCCAGTCCTAATACTATTATATATACTACATAAAACAATAACAATATCAATTTTGTACATGTGATTTATAATTAATACCTATCTCATTTGGGTCAGTCGTTTAACACCTGTTCAGGCGAGTGCATTTTAAAAAAAAAAAAAAAAAAAAAAAAAAAAAAAAAAAAAAAAATCTTCCCTTTTAAAAAAACGCCAGGCGGGGAAGAGAAACAAAAACCTTGCGCGCAGTGCGCATGTATAATATAATAAGTAGTATACTTATCCCAACCCGCACGTTAGGCAGAATTTATTTGCAAACAATAATATGAACATGTAAAAATATGGTTATAACTCAACACGGCGCTTCCCCTTAGTTTGCCGCTTTTTTTTTTTTTTTTTTTTTGTCCGTTGCTTACCCACCGCTCAAGCAAAGAGTGCGCGCCACTGCAACAGTTTTAAGAGATACAGTTCTCGGCGAGGAAAAATTCCCCTCGAATGGAGAGAGAGACATCGCCCGCTATTGGCTCCCTTGCAATTGGCATGTCATCACGTGCTGCGTGACCATATAAGCGCAGCGTAGCGCGCAAACGTTTGCCTGTACTGTTCCCCTGGCCCAGCCGAGCAGCCACTCATCTGCTGAGCGATTGGACGATTGGGTACCAAGAGGGTCACGTAAGTTGCACGCATTTATTTGCATGTACCGCTTGTAATTTTTTTTTTTTTCCATTCGTCCGTTTGCGCATCGGGTTTGAGGCAGCAGGACGAGTAGGGAAAGAAAGCTGCGTAACGAACTTACCCAGCAGGCGCTAACCAGATAAACGGTTGAACAGCTACAGTAGTAACCCCCCCCCCCTTGGCAAGATGAACGAACTAGTGGTGTTCGAGTCGAACCACCAGAAGGCCATCAACGACTGCGAGCTGGACTACTACAGCAAGAAACTGGCCACATGCTCCAGCGACAACACGGTGAAGATATTTGATGTGAGCCTTTCAAAGGAACCCGTGTGCATCGCAGAAATGCGAGACCACAGCTCAGCTGTGTGGAAGGTATGTTGGTCCCACCCCAAATATGGGAGCCTCCTAGCTAGCTGCTCCTACGACAAAAGTGTAATCATATACAAAGAAGTACACATGAACAAGTACGATATCATTTACGTGAACAATGAACACAACAGTAGCGTAAACTACATAGAATGGTCTCCACATGAATATGGCTTGCACCTAGGGTGTGCATGCTCAGATGGACACATCAGTGTCATATCGTATGATCTAATGAAAGGATCTAATGGAGAAGGGCAATGGAACAAGTATAGTGTGAAAGCGCACCTGAATGGAACCGCCTGTATAAGCTGGGAAAAGACTCATAAGAATAAACATATGAATGAAGGGACTACTGGAGCACCTGCAGTAGCAACAGCACAACCATCTTCAGCAGGGGTAGGAGGAGGAGATCATGCAAATGTATTCCAATTAGCGTCAGGAGGATTTGACAATCAAGTAATCATATGGATGTTCGATAACACCACGAAAGAATTTCACAAAGTTTACCAAATGAAGGACAAGCCACACAACTCTTCAATTAAAGACATCGCGTGGAGGCCAAACCTAAACAACAGCACGAACGTAATTGCCTCATGCTCAGATGAAGACATTGTAATCCTGTGGGTAGAGGACTTGAGTAATAATCAGTGGAGGAACGGACAAGTTATTAAGGTAAAGGACAAAGTTAGTAAAGTGTGTTGGTCACCCAATGGAACCATTCTAGCCATTGCATGTACAAATGACAATGCCTACTTGTATAAAGAAGGATTAGATGGCGTGTGGGAAGAGGTGTGCAATTTGGCGGACAATGAAAAGCTACATGCACAGATGCAAGCACAGGAAAATATTAGCGATCATATAGGGGATATTAGTGCAGGCGGAGCAACCATGTCGGCCACCCCCATGGGAAATGTATCAACCAATCAAGTGGACCCTTACACCGGATCATACAGCAACAACCCTGGTACTCATAACGAACCCCCTAATTCCTTAAACCCTGTGATGGCGCCCCAAACGAACTATGGTAATAAACCCGTCCCCAATAGTATTGGGGTTGTTAACCCTGTGGGGGCTGCAAACCACAGCAGTGGAAGCACCCCGGGGATGGTTAGAGGTGGATTAAATACTCCACACACGAGTAATAGTAACAACCCTTATGGTCAATCTGTTACTCCTCCTCCCATGACTCCAGGCATGATGCCACCCCCCTTGAACAATAACACCACCATGAGTCAACAAAACGTCACTCCAAATTATTTAATGCCTTCACATAAGAAAACGAGTACTTCAAGTGTCACATCCAATGTTTCTAGCTACCCCATGGGTGGTAGTGGTGGTGCTTCTGTTGGTGCTGGAGGACTTCCGCCTCCCCCACCTCCTCCAGTTGCACAAGACCAGGGTAATGCCGCCCCCTATGGTGGTTTGAATTATTCCACTCCACAAGTACCCACACAGGATGGAAGCGTCTCTGCGTCACAATTTCCTACCATGCCCCCTTCTGCAAATGTACCTGCCGGGGTACCCATGGGTAATAAGCCGAACATCCCAGGACCCCCTCCCCCACCTGGGGGACCACCACAGCAGGCGCAGCAGCAGCAGCCGCAAGCGTACCCACCGCACCAACCACCATTTCCAGGCGCTAGTCCCAGCACGATGAATTTTTCCAAACCAGGTAGCCCAATGCCGCCCGCCCAATTTCAAGGCGCAAATGCGAACAAAACAAGTTTTAGCACACAACCAATTTCGCCTCCTCCACCCCCTCCCCCATTTGGTTCGACGCCTCCACAACAAGGACCTCCTGTGACCAAAGGAATGAACAAAACAAACACCTTCTCAAATTTTAACCCAAATGTGATGACTCCACCGAACGCCCCCCCACCAATGGGCACGAGTCCCCCAGGACCACCTCTAAAAAATGTGAGCCCCCCAGGGAGTAGCTACCCCCCAATGAATTACTCTCATCCACCCCCACCTCCTCCCAATATGATGGGCGGTGACCCAGGTGCGAACCGACCCCCAAATGCACAGTACGGCGCGTACCCGAGTTATAACCCGCCCCCCCAGTAAGGGTGCGAACGAATGAAAAAGAAGCAAATGGGAAAATGTGCAAAGGTGCAAATGTGCAAGCGTGACGGGTGGGGTATAAAACCACGCGAAAGTTGGTCAATGGGACAGAAAAGGACACATGAGGGGTGCCACGTAGACGCAGCAAAATGACGCCTGACAAGAAGTAGCACTAAAGCAGTAGCACCGCGCGTACACGGAGAGGCGCTTTCCTGTCGCGTCACTCCATTTGACCGCACTTGGCAACTAGCCAATCGTCAATCCGTGGGTGACCTGGGCAGTGGACAAGGTGCCTCAGAAAATGCGCACGTGTGTATCTGCGCAAGAGGCCAATCGGCCACCATTTCATTTTGTACCCCCTGCTTACATTTTACGTCTCCTTTTTTTCTTTAATTTAAGCTGATTTTTGTAGCGCACATTTTTCATTTGCTTTTTACCCCTGAGCTTGTTTTTTAAAATGTGTGTAATTGGGATATTTTTTTTTTTTTTTTTTTTTGCGAATCGCTTTTTCGTATTGCCTGTTCAGGTAAAAAATTGTAAACATTGGACAAAAAAAAAATAAATAAAAATAAAATAAAAATAATGATAATGATAATAAAAAAAAAAAATACTTTATATAAAAGCAACCCTTGTGGGGGATCTTATTTAAGCATACAGCAAATTTAGCATCGCGTAGTGTGTCCATTCAAGGTTCCCGAATGGGTGTTGTTTGGGGACATCGAAAGGTCGTTTGTTCTGTCCTGCGAACGTGTATCCAGTTTTCACTGTGCAGGGTATTTTTTCTTTTCTTTTTTTTTTTTTCCGCCCAGCAGGGTGAGGTTTTATTTGGGGTGGTTAGCAACAACAGAGCGGGAGAATCCCCCGTGGTAGGGCAAAACCCCTTTCATATGTCGACGATCTTTCCTTGTTCTTATAACATTTAGCGATTTTGAACAAAGGGCACCATGTGACATATAATATAACATGTAATGCGCGTAAAAAAATGGACTCCATCCTGTTCATCTTCACCAACAGGTGCGCTTTCCATGCCCAATTGTGCGACTGCCTTTTCTGCGGGTTTTTTTGTTCTACACCCCAGGGGGTGTTTCATCTTTGCCGCCAACAGAAAAATAATGAAAGGGCAAATAGGAATCGACAACGCTACAATGAAAAGATATACATAGTGAAAAAAAAAAAAAAAAAAAAAAAAAAAAAAAAAAAAAAAAAAAAAAAAAAAAAAAAAAAAAAAAAAAGAACCACACGTAGAGTAAGCGTTTCTTTTTCTTTTTTTTTTTTAAATCCACAAGAGAAAAAAGAAAGCTTAGAATATCCGTTTTTATTCAACAAAATATCCACTTATGCGTTTCCTTGATGGATCTACGTACTGTTAACTTTACGCGTGTATTGCTGCGTGATTCCATACTCTTCCTTTTTCTTTCTTTTTTCTTTCTTTTTTTGTTTCTTTTGAAAGTTGCGAGGCAGCAAAAAGGAGGATGTTCACATAAGGAGATAACACCAAGCCGAACAAATGCTTTATGGCACTAAGCTTCCAAACGTTTTTTTTTTTTATGCAAATGTAAATCTACAGGTAGTCAAGTGTATTATAAAGCATATAGAAGAACGTAACTGCTGGTGAATGTTTTTAACTTTGAGTATTTTGAACGGGGGGTGCTGAACTTGCTTGTGGCGATGTCACCATTTTTTTTTGTGTGCTCCCCCCGGACGGTAAAATTTGTGTTTGCTGCGCTGTGCGCATTTATGCCCTTTAATGCCGAGTACCCACTGGGGAAAGCAACGGCATTACGGTGGTAGTATAGTTACGCCTCTCTGTCATATCGCGTTGCGTTGCTGCCCCATCCCCCCACATGGAGTAACTTGTGAGACAGGACGCCCCAGAAAAAAATGTCTCAAGAAAACCCCGATGTGCTTTTCAAGGAGGAGCGGAGCGAGCTCCTCGAGGGGAGCCTGAGTGACCACCTGAGCGAGTTCAAGGTAAGTACAGAGCAGCGCGCGCACCGCACGTTGCATGGCACATTGCATCTCACGTCGAACCGCGCACCACACCGTCCACTTCTCCCCCTCTTTTCCCACTTGGCAGAAACGGGAGCACGTTTACCTGGCTTGCATCTCCTCCCTGGAAAAGGAAATATGCCACACGCACACCTACCTTAACGAATGGAGGAACATGCACATGTACGAAGACGAGGAGGGGAAGGCCCAAAAGGACGACATGGTGAACATCAACTCACTTAGGAACCTGCTAATAGACCCCTCGATCAATTTGGAAATAAAAGAATTGAGGCAAAAAATTTATGAAGTAACGAGGAAATGGCATCTTGCAGAAGAAAAGTTACAAGGGTTTAATTTTGACGCACAGGCAACGGCGGGTCAAAGACTTATAAGTAAGTGTAAAAAGTTACAAGACGAAAATTATGAACTCGGGAAAACACTGGAAGAGAATACCCTGCAACCGCTCTCCATACAAATAATTAACATGAAAGAGCAAATGCTTTTTTATAAAAATGAATTGAAAATATTAAAAGAGTTGAATGCAGACATTGATGAAGATAATGAGTTGTTAAGTCAGCAGTTGGGAGAGCTTTCGAAAAAGTATACACAGATTAGTAAGGAGAAAGCGGAATTGGAAGAAAAAAATGTTAAACTGAAAAACCACGTCAGTGCTCTGCAGCAAAAGTTGAAGGCGCAAAATCACCCCCAGCAGGGCGACAGCCTCGGGGATGTGGATAGGAGCAGTCATGGCGGGAACAGTCGAGGTGCAAGTCCACGTAGTAGGAGCCATCGCAGTAGGAGCAGCCATACCTACGGGAAATACACAGCGGAGCGCCGCCACGATACGTACTCCTCCCGGAACACGTCCCCCCGCAACAACCGAAGAGGTAGCCGCAAAGTTAGCCAAGCCAACTACGAGGACAGCCACCGGGCCGCAGGAGGTTACTCCAAGTATAGACCAGACGATGCGCACAGCAACTTCCGCGACGATGAAGAGGAGGATGTGTGGAGGCAGGGTTACAAAAGAAGTGACTCTCATCTGAGAGAACGAAAAAGCAACGCCCCCGAGGATGACCACCGTACGTACTATAATGACGACAATTACAGGAAGAGGAGTTCGCATGACAGCAGGGAAAGAAAGTACAGGAAACTGGACCGCCACCACCACAGGGATAGGAAGGCGGACAGGGAAAGGGAAAAAGACAGGGACAGAGACAAGGAACGGGAAAAGCATAAGCTGAAGGATAAGGACAGGAGCCGCAAGGAACGCGGCCGCGAACAGGACAAGGATAAGGAGTCGGAAAGGGACCGAGATAGGGATAGGGATAGGGATAGAGACCGCGAACGCGAGCGGGACAAGGCCAAAGACAGGACCAAAACGAAAGAACGCGAAAAGGCGAAAAACAAGCACAAAAGCAAAAATAAGGAAAAGGGAAAAGGGAAGGGAAAGAGAGACGAAAACTACGACAGCAGTAATTACTCAGAACCGAAGAGAAGACCTCCCAGGGATCATGGTGATGACCGTCGGGACCATTCCAGGGTGGACAGGTTCGACCACTCCAACGCGTCTCACAATGGGGATGCCGATGATAAGGCAAGCGAGTTCGACCGCTACGTGTACCTGCACAAGTGACTGGGTTGCCTTTCCAACAAGGGGACGTTTACTGGTAGTTTGGCAGCCTTTGCGGTTATAGCGGTTGTAGCGGTCATGGCGGTCTAGCGGCCCTTTAAGAACTCTTTTGAATCCACTTGTTTATCCGTCCAACCCCCATTATGAAGCTCATTATGAAGCTCATTATGAACCCCATTTATAACCTCTTTTTTATTTATTTATTTTTTTTGCGTCGCTGTATCATTGTCACCTTAGTGATTATGGTGCACCCTTTTGCCCATCACACTGATGCGCTGCACAACTAACAATTAATAAAAAAAAAATATCTTATTTGAAAGCACATTCCAATTTTTACCATCCCTTCGGGATATATATGTTTGCCCCTATATGGAGGAAACTTTCTGCGACTGGAGAGCTTTTCTCACATTTGTGTTATAAGCAGGTCCAGGTCCCCCACCATATGCAGCTGCCCCCTACCTCCTCATCACATGGGCAAATTTGCCAAGAAAGGGAGAAAAAAAAAAAAAAAAAAAAAAAAAAGAACAACGTGACGCGGTGAGGGGCATGCCCCCGCAACTTCACCCAACTTACAAAAGGCACAATAAAAAGTTACGCGTTTGGAGGAGTAGCAGTTGCCGAGACGGGTGGCAGAGACAAACAACTTGGAGAGAGAGAAGGGCTTTTTTTCCTTCCAAAAATGAGCAACGTCACGAGTTGGAGAGGTCCACTCAGGTCAGTTAAGCAACATACTATTGGAAGATGCTATTGAATATATTTTTTTGAATTCCTTTCCTTTGCAAATACGCGATGGAATTGCATACAAAAAAAAACAATAAGCATACTGCTTTGCAAGTACATGTTTAATTTTTTTTTTTTTTTTTTCTCTGCCCCATTTTAGCTGCATTGAAAACTGCCTTCAGACCCCGTTTAAAAATTGAGATGATGGCGTTTTTTTTTCCCGCCCCCAAAATGGGAATATTGCACGTACAGGAATTTTTATTTTTTCCCCAAAAGTGCGCATCAAAAAATGTAACAACAAAAAGAGAACATTAAAGAGAGGTTACAAAGAGGTTGCCACCGGATGGAAAATTAGAGATGAAAAATTCGAAATGCTTGCTAAGGTTAGATGTCCCATTTTTATATTTTTATTTTGAGGACACTTTCTTTTCTCTTGTCATGATTTTTTTTTTTTTTTTTTTTTTTGTAACTTCCTAACAAAGAAAAAGTAGCTATTTCGTGAAGGAACAACGCATGAGGGGGTTGTACATTTTTATTTTACAACTCTCTGTTGCGCATTTCTAACCCCGCCGAAACATGAAGATAAGAAAAGGGAAAATCAAAACGAATGAGAAGGACTACAATTATGGCGGAGAATTCGAAAGCTACGTATACTCCAAAGAAGTAAGCAGTGATGTGAAAAGCTCCTTAATCGAAGGAGAAAAACTCTCCAACAAATTTCGAAACAGAGGATTGACCAGGGACAAAAGGGCAACTGTGAATACCGTACTAGATAATAGAACGCTGCTTATTTTAAAAAAACTCAAAGATAATTTTCTAAACGAGATATATGGAGTGGTCAGTTCGGGGAAGGAGGCCTACGTCTTCAATTCGCATAAGTACCTGAGTAGGGAGGAGCTCAGGGCAGTCAAGGAGTTGCTGCTCAGGCGGAGACATAGGCGCCGCGACGATCATCATAGTGACGATGAGCATAGCGACGATGAACATAGCTGTGATCAACGTAGTGACGGTCAACGTAGTGACGATGATCATAATAGCCATGACCAGCATAGTGACGATGAAGATTGTGACGGTCAATGCAGCGCCGGTCAACGTAGTAAACATGAACATAGTGACAATGAACAGGACGCAGGTCTCCCTGACGGGGGAGACGCGCCCAGGTGCGTTCGCTTCGCGCACGAGAGCCTGTACAAGGTGTACCACCTGAGCAGGCACTTGGATGAAGTGGGGGCAGAAAAAAGGGAAGAAAGGGAAGAATCGCAGGGGGAGAAGGATGAGGAAGAAGATGAAACGGAGGAAGAAAACGCAGCGGAAGAGGAAGGCAGTCCGAACCTGCGGGGCGTACTGGACGAAACCTACGACATAATTGACAAAATGAGCGAAATGGTCGCCGAGGGGGATGAGCATACATGGGATCCTTTGCAAAACAAGCAGGTAGCCATATCTTTTGCGACGAAGGTTTACAACACATCCGTGCTGGTGTTTAAGAAGAGGTCACAATACATTGAAGGAGAATTTCGATTCAGAAATGCCTACACCAAAAATACCAACCCAAGGAAAATGGTGAAGCAGTGGGCAGAAAAAGAGTTCCGAAATTTAAGGCGAATATTAATATGTGGATTGAGATGTCCCTATCCTTTGGTCTTAAAAAGTAACGTCATTGTGATGAGTATGTTAGGTAGCCTAGACACTGCTTGCCCCAAAATGAAGGACCTAATTTTGAGCCCCTTAAAATGGAAAGAGCTATACATTGAATGTATATGCATTTTGAGACAACTTTTTTGCAGCTGTAAACTTGTTCATGCAGATTTTTCAGAATATAATTTGCTTTACTTTTATAACCATATTTACATCATCGATGTGTCGCAGTCTATGGAGCACGATCACCCCTACTCTCTGGAGTTTCTAAAGAGAGATTGCGTAAACATTACCAATTTTTTTAAGAAGAAAATTGGCACCCTTCAAAATGATATGCAGGAGAGCGTTGATCAGCTGAACGAGATGCTGCACGGAGCCAAGATTGACCAGGAGGTCGCGTTAAAGAATCGTTGCGGGGTGAGCGAGGACGCTGCGGGCATCACGAATGGCACGAATTGTACCAACTGTGAGGAGAATGGCCTCCCGATAGACAAGAGCAATAACGAAAAGCACAACAAGTCGAGCGAATCCTTCTACAGCCACGTGCAGATTCTCCCGCTCAAAAAGCTCTTCGATTACATCGTTTCGTCTAGCCTACCCCAAGAAGTTACCTACTTCCTAGAAAGAGACAAAAAGGAAATACACATGGACCCGTCCGAAATAACATACCTTCAAATTTTTGGCCTAATAAAAAACACCACTCCCATACCTAAGCTCAATTTAAGGAATATAAAAAAAAACAGAACATACTTTGAAAAACTAAAAAGAGCCACAGGTTATTATGTAACCAAATTTTTTGCAAAGAATCAGTCCCACATAAAAAAACATGCCGATAAAAGCCAAGTAGAAGAACAGATTTTCCTAAGTTCATGGATCCCATCACATTTGAACGAAATAAAAGATATTAAAACAATTGAAAAGGATCTGAAGCTTTTGAAAAAAGGAAAATCTATGGTCAGCAATTTTATTTCGAATAATTATCACACAGAGCGTTCTAAGCATGCCCCAAAAAATAACACCTTCGTGGAGCATAACAGTTTAGAAGGAGAGAATCCTTCTGATGCAGCCACCGGAGCAAAGAACCGCAGAACAAACGGTGATTGCACAGTACATGCGCAAAAGGAAGAAATGACTGGAAATTTTACCAGCACGTGTGCACAAAGGGAAAATTCAAACGATGAAGACAACGGGGGAGACCCTTATGAACAGGGTAAGGAAACCCATAAAAATGGTGAACACGAAGTGTTGGATGAGATAAGCGACAAAAGGTCTCCCAAGTCGCTTGAAACAGTGGCATCTTCGAAGAATGTACTCGATGCACACAAATCAGACGCAAGCAATGACGAAAACAATTTTGTGAACAGCGAACAGGAGGAGGAAGTCAAATTTAAGGGAATAATTCCCGAGGGGGTAACGAGAAAGGAGTGGAGCAAATTAGTGAAAGAACAAAACAGAGAGAAAAGAAAGCACAAAATTCCAAAGTACCAGAAAAAGAAGAAGAAAAAAAAAGCGCACTTGAAAAAAAAATGACGTAAAAGGGGCTGAACAACCCGGTCAAGCAGCACAGAAAAGTGCAATTAAAAAGCAATGTAAAAGAAACATATAAATAAATTAATGTGCTACGTTTTGTAAAAGCGAGAGCTAGTGAAGAGACTTAAACCCCCGTTTGCAGTTGCAAGTGCCAAGGTGCACGTGTACAATTCGCTAAAAGGAACTCCCCCCCAAAAAATCAGTACAATATGTAGTTTTGCGTACAACTGATAGGGGAATTGCAAAGGCAATGTGAATTTACGATTCATATACATTCTAATTTTTGTGATTATGGAAGAAGATTTCCTATCAACGAAGTTAGCCAACTCAACGAATTTTCAAATTACAACATTGACAAAAAAGTGCAGCCAAAAAGAAGCCGGCATATTAAGAATATTCTGACCGTTCATATTTTTTTTTTTTTTTTTTTTTTGATATTATGCAACAGATAGCTGTCAATTTTTTTTTTTTTTTTTGAGTTTTACAATTAATACCGGAAAATGGCTAGCTAACTGGGACACCCCACAACCGTTTTAAAGTTCCAACCACAACAACGTCTGTAGGATACCCTTTTTAAATGATGAATTTTTGTAAACATGGACCATTTTATTATTAGCCATTTTTCTGTCATTTGTGTGCAATTTTGATCGTGTAAGAGTAGCTACGTGCGCGGGAACACACCGCACGAGTTGTCCACAATGTGTGCAAGGGGCTGGTACACCTCCCCCATGTAGTAGCTGTTATTTTTCGTTTTCACTTTTACCGCTTTTAAAATGCTTATAAGTAAATGAGGTTTCCCCATTCTACTTGCCATGTACTTCGAACGGATTTTTTTTTTTTTCCCTTATTCTTCGCACATTTACAACTTTGTTTTTTTATATTTGTCCATTCTTGCACACGCTATGTTTACACCCCCAGATTATTCTTTTTTTTTTTTTTTTTTTTTTTTTTTTTTAAATTCGTCCCACTCGAACATGCGTATTAGCAGTTGTGCACTGAGCACATGCCCATGAAAGTGGCCTTTCCCCGTGGCCCCCTTTTGTAACACATGTGCTGAATTTGGCATACACATAGAAAGGCTAAAAACAAAGTGGACAATAAGGAAAAGAAATGTCGAAACTTTTAAAAGCGTTTTGAGCGCATTAATTTGGGCAGTTGAAGTTTTACCCTTAATATGAAAAATTAAAACCTGAATGCGATTATCTGTGCATTTTGGCACTTTCAAGGTTTTTCCTTATTCGTGCAAAACGTATTATTAGCTGTTTGCTCACATTTATAACTCCTTTTTTTTTTCTCTCTCTCCTTCTCATTTCAACTTAATTGGATCACATTTTAAAAAATGTGTCTTACGATCATTTCTTTTTTTGCTAAATTGTACCTATAAAAATGAACTGCCCGAAGGTAGCACAGGTAAAAAAGGGGAGAATACTAGAGTGTTCCCTTTGAAAGGGCGTTCATTGTTTTTTTTTGTTTTTTTTTTTCAAAACATTTTGGAAGTATTTTTGTCTCTTCATTTGTGCTTCCTTCGCGTTTTCCCCCGCGGAGTGTTTTATTTCCCCCCAGTTTCCCGTTAGCCATTCAGGGGAAGCCAATCACAGACAAAGTGCCACCCAGTGTGTCAAAGTAAAAAAAAAAAAAAAGCAGAAACGATGAAACGTATGCGCAAAGTGGAAAACACAAAGTGGGGGAGAAAAAAAGAACTTCTTCATTATTCTTGCACACCATGAAAGGACTGTTCCTTTCCCTTGTTCACTCCAGGAAAACAATGGAATAACCAAATTTTTTTTAAAAGACTTGATAAAGGAGTCGTCCCTCAAAAATGCGGCTGTTGTATCGGGCGAAAAGGCAGAACATGAGCGAAGAAACGTGCAAAAGGATGTAAAGCGAATTTTAACTCTACCTTTTCCCTGAGAACAAAATGGCACATGTGTAATTGTGCACACCGCATCTAGGTACACATCATCTACACCCGCACACGTTTGGTTTCTTCTTCAAAATAGGACAAAAATCAACCGTTTAATGTGACCTATACTTGGGAAACGGATCCCATAAGTGGGTTCAGGTAAAGACATAAATACACAAATGCATGTGCCTCTCCACAGAGATAAATTCTGCCATTAACTGATTTCACTTGTTCAGGTTCGTTAATGTTTTAAACAAGAAGGATAAGAAAAAGTTGGGAATTCAATGTGAGTTGATTATGAGGCTGTACCGCTCAGATGGGGAGGAATGCATCCACATGCGAGCGTATTTTACTAGCATGCCGATTAACACGATTGCCTTCTTTAAGGTGCGTGTGGTCCTTATCAGGATCCTTCCCCCTGGTGCAGGCATTTACTGTAGAGACAAACAGTTGTTCAGATTTAAAAGAAGCGTCTTGTGCCACATGGTTACTTTTGATCATGGTCTGAAATCAAGTGTTATGGAAGAATTAAAGGTGCCCTTCTATCATCAATGCGCATTTGTTACACATGTGCATGGTGATATGGGTATTCCTATTAGCTCTCGTACTTCCTCCCATTTATGTACATGTTCATAATTTTTTTGTCTTTTTTTTTTTTTTTTTTTTTTTTTTTTTTTGCAAGCTTAACGAGAAGAACGCAGATGAACGGTCAGAATTTATTAACAATTTCAATGCAGAGAAATGTGCACAAAGGAGAGCACAAAGTGGGTCCGAAATTTTGGAGAGAAGGGGAATAGGAGAAGAACCCGAAAGAAAACACACAAAAAAGTGTTGTAATAATTACGAACTCATTAAACTTGAAATAGAATTTGTGGCAACTTTGAATTTATTAACATGTGATGAATTGGAATCGTTGTTTTGTTTTTTTTTCTCCGAGAAAATATTTTCATTTAGTGAATGTACAGACAAGGAGATCATTATTGAGCAATTTTTACAAAACATAAGTTCCGTTTCGATGAAGTATTCCTCCCTCATTAAGTCGGGTATGTGTTACGAGTCGGCGTGTGGATGATGTCGTGCGAAGACATGTCTCTCATTGTGTTTTTTCCTTTTCACTATCGTGTTATTTGATATATATCCCATTTAAAATTAGTGCCTTTTTTTTTTTTTTTTTTTTGTACCCTTTTCGATTCTTTCCCCTTTTTTTAGCATATGATGAACCCATACTTAACAAAGACGCTAAATGTGCTACTTTGCAAGAATACCTGAATGGGTTAAAAGTTTCGGGGGAAGCAAAGAACACTTGTACGGATGAACCAAAGATAGAAGGCGAGGTGATCTCTCACGAAATAAACGACAAAGATGCAGAGGATGCAGAAGGGAACACTGGTGGAAATGGCGAAAAAATGGGTTCAGATGTAGCAGGTGAGATTAGTGGCATTGAAGAAATTCCGCAAATTGGGGGAAATGATGAACATGGAGCGTTGGACGGAAGCGGGGTGGAGCCCATGCATAAGGAGACTAATGTGGCTAACCAGGTGACTTCCAATATTGGCAACGAACGAACCGATGAAGAAGCCACCAATGTCGCAAATGTTGCAAAAAGGAGAAGAACGAAAAAGCCAAAAGGTATAGATGCAGGCACAGGACACCTGAACCCAAAGAATCATATACTTATAAACATAAACGACTGCGACATTTTAAAACACAATGATAAGATATTCATTAACTTGAGTGCTCTTCGGGAGGTAAAAGCAGACGCAGAACGGAAAAAGGAAAATGACGCGATTCTCATTGTTAGCGGCTCAGGGGAGGCGGGGCACCTGAGCGAGGGAAGCACAATGAGGGTAGAACCAGGAGAGGTACGTACGAACAAGGTGTGCACAAATAAGGTGGACAAGAACGACGTAGACCCCACAACTGCAGATGCAAATGTCAATGAAACAGCCTACTCGGCAAAGAAAGCCTCATCAGAACGGATAAACAACCTTCAAACGAACGCAGCTGCTAGTGGGGGTGGCAATGAGAACGATGTGAACCCTCCACTCAGTGTGAATAAAAAAGCCAAACGGGTCAGAAATAAAAAAGACACGAATGAAAAATGCACTACGCAAGTGGGTAAAAAGGGCCAAATGGGTGCAGAAAATTGTACGACGAGAAATAGCCAACCGAAAAAAAAAATAAAAGTAGATGACCTACCAGGAGGTAATTCCGCCCAAACAATTTTACCTTCACAAGAGGGACAAAAGAAACAACACTTAGAGGAGGGAAAGGCTCAAACAGAAGAATGTAACTCGAAAGGGATCGTTCTTAACGAGAGTAGCAACATAAATGGTCTCCAAGATGAAGATAAAGCAAAAAATGGCAACAGCAATAGGAGCAGGGAAAATTACCCCCAGAGTAGCAGCAGTGACAGTAACATCCCTTCAAGGGTCATGGACGAAGAAAAAGATTTTAGTTCTAGTGACAAATTAGTCCATGCAACAAATATGGAACAAGATGAAGACACACATGACCTGAATAACGATACGGTGTATGAGCATCACAGCAGGTTGGGAGAGGAACACGAGAAGAACACTGCTCCGTTGGATGAGGGAGGACGCGTTAGGAAGGTGGTCCCTTTAAAAGGGGTAGCTAAGCTGATGACTGCTAAAATGATTAACAGAGATGAAAATATAAAAGGGAAAAAGATAAAGAATAACGATGAAAGGAATAAAGCCAAATTTTGTAAGAAGATAAAAAGCCCCATTGGGAAAAAAACCAACTGCCCCACACGCCATAATGAGATTAACCAAAATAAAAAGACCCCATCGACCAGTAGAAAAAAAGGAAACAAACTTAACATGCGGGAGAGGGATAAAGCGCAAACAAACGCATCAGTGCAGAATTCTAAAAATTTTAAACCAGACAAATGTGTAAGTAATACAGGGGGTAACGGGGCGGTAAGCTGTGTTCACAAAAATAGCATTAAGGGAAAAGTGCCTACTAAGAAAAAGCCACATGTTGGTGACTCCTGTCATGATGGGAAGAATCATTTAGGGGAACAGAAATGCAAGGCGCCGCTGACAAAGCAAGTCAACAACGTATGTGCAGAGGGTGATAATAGACGCCTTTCTGCAAAAATGCGAATTAAGCAATTATGTGATGTCTCCATGGATAATATAATTCAGGCTGATGTCATGAAGTGGTCGCGCACACGTTCTTGCAGACTTGGTAGATGATACGGGCAGGAGCGGTGACATGAATATTTTAGCCCCAATGGGTGGGGAATCTGTCTTGCGTGGTTTGCCTCTTTTCCCCCTTAAACAGGGTTTATATAAAAAGCTCCGTTTCGTCGTTCTCTCCCCCATTTGGCAAATTTGACGAGTTTGCGTGACGTCGTGGGAAAGACTGCGTGGTGTGGTTCCCCGTCGGTTTCTTCGCTTGAATAGTTTGTATTTTTTTTTTTTTGTTTTCCTCAATTTGCTGAACTTTGTTACACATTGAGAGGTATGACACCACATGGGGGATTTTTTTTTTTTTTTTAAAAAGTTCAGCGGAAAAACGAACGTTTTGGCAGTTTGACCATGTGACAAAGCTTTCACATTTGTCCCCCCTGTGCAAAGCGTTTCCATCATGATGAACACTGAACAAATAAGTCTGTATTACGTATATAAATATTATATTTTTTTTTTTTTTTTTTTTTTTTGTTTGTTTCATTTAGTGCCTGTTTTGTTCAATTGCGTAAAAGCAGAGTTGTATATTTTTCTACATTTTGTGCATTATTTGCACTGTAAAATTTACAGCATGGTTTTTTGTTTTTTGGGGCCTTCCCCCCTTAACCTTTTTTGTGTCAACATGTTGTTTTTACTTTTGCTTTTTGCGAGAGCTCTTTCGGTTTGTAATTTTTTTACAACAAGAATACTGAGCGTTGTATAATCATACATATAAAATATACACTGACATTTTTTATGGCGCCTGGGCGCACTGCATTATTTTGATTTATATACATGCGCGTATAAATACATATGCAGCATATGTAACGTAGGCATATATACAAGCGGATATTTGTAAAATGCGCCGCCCGTGTATACATAAAATAACATATATATTTATGTATATATATAATATATGTATGTACCCGTATAACTCGAGTCGCAAAAGTGCAAATACAATTCATCGTTTTTACGTTCGCTTCAGAATATTTTTGTAAAAAAAAAAAAAAAAAAAAACGGAGGGGTGGTAAGGAAAACAAAATTGACAAAAGGTAAAATTTATAATATATAATAATATATAAAATATACCTCTATATGTAGTTATATAATGGCCGAAAGCGCACGTATTTGTATATAAATGATTTCATATTTCTTTAAATTTGTGTTTTCATGTTTTAACTAAATTACCAAGTTTAAAAAGCATATAATTAAGCAGGCAGCAGGAAAATAGATTGACAAAAAAAAAAAAAAAAAAACGTATAAGTTTGTTAATACTATAAACCCCTTTGCGCGTCATATGTGTAAATTTTTTATTTTTTTTGTTTTTTTTGTTGAAATATATCAATATGTATACTACGATAAAAGTAAAGGAGTCAATATAGAATAAGTTAGAAATTTATATTTTAACACGTTTTAGTTAAATGCTATGACTTTTTGAAGTTGTAATTGTTTGTAAATATTTTCAGCAAGTTTAGAGATTAAGCATAGTATGTATGTATGTATGTATACCTTTACCCAATGGTAATCAATTGTTTTAAAGGATAATCAAATATATTAAGAAGCAACAGAGAACGAAACAAAAAAACAACGGAACAGGAAAATAAGGAAATAGGAAAACAGGAAAATAAGGAAATAGGAAAACAGGAAAATAAGGAAACAGGAAAATAAGGAAACAAAGAAACATAGAAACATAGAAACAAAGAACCATAGAAATATAGAAACAAAGAAATATAGAAATATAGAAACAAAGAAACAAAAAATGTCTCCCTATGAATACTTGTTTAAATACATAATAATTGGCGATACAGGTAATTCGAAAAGAAAACCTAAACGAACACATCCTATTAACAAATGGAGAACATAAAATGTGTTATTAGAGTTGCCCCAATTCATTGATATTATTTTTTTTTTTTTTCTTCTTTTCCCCTTTTAAGGAGTTGGAAAAAGTTGTCTTTTATTACAATTCACAGACAAGCGATTTCGAGCTGATCATGATTTGACCATAGGTGTAGAATTTGGGGCGAGACTAATCAATTTAGACAATAAGCAAATCAAGCTTCAAATATGGGATACGTAAGTGGAGAAAATGAAAGGAGTTGTGCATGTTCCATTCGTGAAAGCGGTTAAAATGGGTGACGTTCCGCGTTCAAAGTGCCATTTTTGTTGAATTTTTTTTTTTGTTTTAAGAAATATAAATTAGTGTGAACAGTGTGGTGTAAGTATAGCCAACGGAATGCCCTCAATGGAGCCACATGAGCAACAAAATTTCATTTGACATTTTTTGTACAACTCATTCCCCCATCTCGATGCAGCGCCGGCCAAGAGTCCTTTAGGTCAATAACACGGTCATACTATCGTGGAGCAGCGGGAGCCCTACTAGTTTATGATATTACTCGGTAGATATGTATAATTTGACTTCAGTTGTGATGGAATGTACATACCCATTTGTGAAGAGGCGGTGCCGTCTTGCGAATGCCCCGTATCGCATGTATTCATTGTAATAGTTGGCAGTAGTTAAAAACCTTTTTTTCGTTTTTTTTTTTTTCTCTATTCACCTTTTTAACAGACGAGAAACGTTCAACCACCTAAACAGATGGCTAGATGAAGTACGACAGAATTCAAATCCCCATATGGCTATTATTCTTGTGGGGAATAAATGCGATTTGGAGAGAAGAGAAGTTTCAGCTGAGGAAGGGGCGCAATTTGCTAGGCAAAATGGATTAATATTTTTAGAAACCTCAGCCAAAACGGCAAAAAATGTGGAAGAAGTAAGCAGCAATTTTTATCTAGTCATGTTGCATAAATTAAACGGTGTACACGAAAGTACAGTTTATATATTATGTTTTTTTTTTTTTTTTTTTTTTTCCTGTTCCCTCCCCCCGTTTTATAGGCCTTCATTTATACCGCAAGAAAAATATATGATAACATCCTGGAGGACGTGTATGACCTAAGCAACGAGTCATACGGAATTAAATATGGGCCCACCAACCAATACTCAAGAGTGAAATTAGGTAAGCTCTTTGCCAACGGGTATATTTTTTCTTCTCTCGTGCATGACTTTGTCACCCACTCGAAATGTGGACGTGTTCGTGTGTATGTACACATTCCTCGTGCGCACATATATGCATATCGATGTTCCTTTCCCTCTCCTTCAGACATGCCCTCGATGCCGGAGTCAAGATCATCCTTCAGCTGTTGTTAACCTTTTGTTGTAAACTACTGGCCTGCTTTTTTACAGTGTTTCGATATATTTGATGATATCCATTTGATATCTGTGTTGATATCCATTTGATATCCATTTTGATATCCATTTGGATATCCATTTTGATAACTTACCTTCTTTGTAATTAAACATTTTTCATAAAAAAAGCGAAAATTGGGTAGTTTTTTTTTTTTTTTTTTAAAGTTATATTTTAATGAAATTTTATTACATGATTTAACGCGTTGTTCTTGCTTCTTTCCTTCTCTCCTTTTTTTTCTTTTTTAGTAAATGTGTATTAATTTGTCCATTCTCATTCAAAATTGTAAGTTTCCCCTCTTTTTTTTTTTTTTTTTTTTTTTTTACTTCGAAATTAAAATATATTTATTAGAATTTAAAATAACGAAGAAATGAAGAAACGAAGAAGTCGCAAAGTATTCGCACCTTTCCCCTGTTTTTGTTTTTTGTTTTTTCCCGTTCTCCCGTTTCGCGTCCCTTAGTGAGGGCAACAGTTTTGTTAAAAAAAATAACTGGGAAAAATGTTATACAGTATGTTTGCGTGTGATATATACACCATGTGGCAAGTAACACGTAATGCTGTTATTTTTGCTTTACTTAAAAAAGGGACGTAATAATTGGAAACGGAAAAAAAAAAAAGGAAAAAACTTCACGGTGTATATATATGTGCCTGTAGAGCACACGTAATTTAAAAAGAAAGAATGTGTAATGACAATAATGTGGCGTATGTGCCAAAAAATGTGTGAATTTTTTATGAATATGTTTAAATGTTTATTTTTAACTATTTTTTTTTTTTGTGTGTGTGTGCCCCCAAATTTCCATGCTGTCCCTTTTTTTTTTCCCCCCCTTTTGACGTCTTAACTTGATTCGTCTTGAGCACTTTGAATAGCTTCATAAGTGTGTATGGTGTAGTTACACACAGAGTCATTTTCGAAAAAGTCGTCGAAGTAATTATCATCAAAATCGCTGTCCGTAAAATCATTCGCGCTAATGTCATCATCACTTTGTTCGCTGGAGCAATCGTACGAAGAGGAGTAGTAGTTCTCGTTTAAGTAATTTTCGCAGTACAAATTTTGCGTCATTGTTGTTTCTGAGTTATAAATTTCGTATATTTTATTTTTCCTTTTTCGTTTCTTTCTGTGTGTGTATTTTATCTCTTCATCCGTTTGGTCCGAATCTTCTTCCTGTTCGCTTTGGCTACATGCCTCTGGTTTGTCCATTTCTCTTTCAAGTTGCTCATGGTAGTAACTTTGTGGAGATATATCAATTGCTATATCTGCACATTTATTTTTTTCTTCATTTAAGTGATGATTCAAAAATTTATATTCCTCGGAATTTTTATACGTAGTTGCATTTACATAGCCATTATAAAGGTAGCAATTTTTTATGCTCTCATTCACTTCGTCTTCGTCATATTCTAGGGTTTCTATAGACGGCATATCATTATCTAAGTATGAATTGCTGTTTAAGTCTTCATTTTCATTCGTTCTTCCACAATCGCTTGAATGCGTGCTGTTATAAGTCGATTCGCACGTAGAATCATTATTCTTCGAAACAAAGGAACCATTGAATGGTGTTTGTATGTGTGTTTCATTATATAGATCAATTATATAATGATCATTTACATTTGATGAGCACATGCTTTTATGTGTGCTTTTACTTGTTTTACTTGTCACTCCGTTATTTTTATTTTTTTTATAACAACGTGGTGTTGCCATGCTGTACTTCTCCATTTTTGTGCTGATCATTTTATTTTTAAAAAAGAAATCACAAATGGGAATTTTGAAACCACTAATATTGTAGTACTCAT